TCATCAGTCGTGCCATCTCTCATAGTCTCTTTTACAGTCACCAAGAGGCCAACGCTCCTTCCATGCCGAACACATGTCAGCAGACTGCTTGTTTTTCTGAGTCTAACAGCATGCAGAGTTACAGCTTCAGGCTTGAATACAGTAAGATTTTTACTATATTTATGGAGGCATGAGCGGCCCAGGGGGGCTAGATGGTGGTGTTGTGGTGGAGACCGTATCTCCAGAAGGATATTGATACTTTTAGAGAGAGTTCAGAGAAGGGCTACTAAACTGGTTCAGGGATTGCAAGATAAAACTTACAAGGAAAGGTTAAAGGAACGTAACATGTATAGCTTAGAGGAAAGACGAGACCGGGGGAATATGATAGAAACATTTAAATATATAAAGGGAATCAACGCCGTAAAGGAGGAGACTATATTTAAAAGAAGAAAAACTACCACAACAAGAGGACATAATCTTAAATTAGAGGGGCAAAGGTTTAAAAATAATATCCGGAAGTATTACTTTACTGAGAGGGTAGTGGATGCATGGAATAGCCTTCCAGCTGAAGTGGTAGATTTTAACACAGTAAAGGAGTTAAAGCATGCTTGGGATATGCATAAGGCTACCCTAACTATAAGATAAGGCCAGGGACTAATGAAAGTACTTAAAAACAAAAACCAAAAAAAACCAATTGGGCAGACTAGATGGGCCGAATGGTTCTTATCTGCCGTCACATTCTATGTTTCTATTCTGTCACCACTTTGGGCTAAAGAAAAAAAAAAACTCTTGCTCCATATGCGCCTCCGTCTCCCACTCCACCAACTTGTGTCTAGTAGGTCCAAGTCTTCCCACCACCAGTTGTGCACTCTTCGGTTCGTCCACTGCTGAGCACAGAGGTCTCAAAGAAAAATTGGGCAGGCCCATAATATATCTAGGGAAAGGGCAGATTGGCAATAATTTCAATTCGGGTAGTTGCAGATTTAGCTTGTGCAGATTACTGCACGTCTGCTCAATTTGTTATAGGGCTCACAACAAAACCATGTGCGCTAACAGTCTGTATCCAAAGCAATGTCTGACTGAAGTTACCATTGACAACCTTGCATACTATCTCCAGGCACACCCTTCTCGCCACTTAGTCGGCTTCTTGGTACAAGGTTTCCACACAGCCCTTATCGCATTTCCCACAGGCAGTCACGAATGCCCAAACCTTCAGTCAGCTATACTTGACCCCCTCATCACTGAATAATTGATCAAAAAGGAACTAGACAATGGCTTCATACCATATGTATGGACCGTTGTCTCACCCACCTTTTCTTGCTGGTGTACAAACCCTATAGGTATTGCCACAGGAAAATTCCCAAATAAAAACCATCTCATCAATGTATTGTCTATTCCAAGTATTAACTCTTTGATCCCCTCTCTGGAGTTCTCCCTGCACTATGCCACAGTGGACAATGCCATACATGCCATTTTAAAGGCTGGTGTAGGTGCTTGGTTGGGCAAGTCCAACATCTCCAATGCTTTCAAGCTTTTACCAATAGACCCGACCCTGTGGCATGTGCAATGGTATAAAGTGGAGAGTTGAATACTAATTCGCCACACGACTGATATTTGGAGAAAAAAAGCAGTCCCAAACTTTTTGACATGTTCGCAAACACACTAGGTTGGCTCCTACTCAATATATGCGAATGCCCATCAGTGATCCACTACTTAGACAACTTTCTCACAATAGAAGTCCCACTTACAACACCTACTAGTATCAACAAAACTATGGCTCTTTTCTCATCTCTAGGAGTTCCTCTCTCTCAGGAGAAAACAGTAAGGCCGTCCACCAATTTGGTTTTCCTGTGAACTCAACTTAATACAGTTACTCTATAGGCTAGCCTTCCTCTAGAGAAAGTAGTTCGGATTAGACAATCAGTGGAATCTTTTCTGGCGAAAAACAAGTGTACTCGGTCTGAGCGTCAGTCATTACTTGGTACATTAAACTTCACTATGAGGATTATTACACAAGACAGAGCCTTTACCACCAGACTCCTGTGCCTTCTTCCCCGACTGACTAATGACAACAGCACCATAACACTGGATGAACATGCCATAGCTGATCTTAACATGTGGCTCAGATTTCTGTCCCATTGGAACAGAAAAACTATGTTCATTCCCCCATCTCCGAACATTCTCCCACAATCTGGACCGACGCAAGTTGGGAGCACATAAGACCACTGAGAAGTGGATTACAGTAGTCAAGGTGAGAAAGGACAGTGGTATGGACCAGCACCTTAGTCGCATCTGGCGTTAAGTAGGGGCGGATGCGCGCAATGTTGTTGAGATGGAAATGACAGGATTTGGCGAAATACTGAACATGAGGCTTGAAGGAGAGGTCAGAGTCAAAGAGAACACCTAGGCAGCGAGCCTGCGTGATGGAGCTGATGGTAGCACTGTGGACTTGGAGGGAGACAGACACAGGAGTAACAACACTTGAGGGAGGAAAGACCAGAATTTCAGTTTTGGTCAAGTTTAGTTTAAGGAAGTGGGCAGTCATCCAGTTAGAAATAGCAGAGAGGCAGTCAGACACACTAGTCAAGAGGGAGGGGGAGAGATCAGGAGAGGACAGGTAGATTTGCATGTCATCTGCATAGAAATGATATTGGAAGCCAAAGGAGCTAATGAGTTTACCAAGGGAGGCAGTATAGATGGAGAACAATAGGGGACCAAGTACGGAACCTTGGGGGACACCGAGAGAGGAGTTTGGGAGAAGAAGCAGAACTGGAGAAAGAAACACTGAAAGAGCGCTGGGAGAGGTAGGAGGAGCACCAGGAGAGAGCAATATCTTGTAGACCGATATTGCGGAGGATGAGCAGAAGCTGTTGATGATCAACAGTGTCAAAAGCCACAGACAGGTCAAGGAGAATTAGTATATAGTAGTGACCACGAGATTTTGTAGCGAGTAGATCATTGGATACTTTGGTCAGTGCCGTTTCCACAGAGTGCTTAGCACGGAAACCAGACTGAAGTGGGTCTAACAGAGAGTTGGACTCGACGAAGTCTGCCAATCTACCATACACAATTTTTTCAAGGATCTTAGATGCAAAAGGCAGTAGCGAGTTAGGACGGTAGTTGGATGGGGAGTGTAACGGAGCTTCTTGTACTCCGACTGAGTACCCTCCGTTGACGGATGCTCCTAGCGCTTCCTGAGGACTCCAAGCAGTGCAGCAGACACCACAACCACCGCAGACTCCGCAACTGCTGTATCTTGACTGGAGTCTCGCCGTCTTCCTTCCACCCTGGATCAGCTTCTGTCCTCCAGGACTGTGTGGGAAAGAACTCTTCCTTCCACCCTGTATGAACCTCCAGCATCCAGGACTGTGTGGTGAAGACCCCTCCTCCAAGGAGAGCGTGTCAGGAACAAGCTCTTAAAAGAGCTAAGTGACTCAAGCTCAGGGGAGCATGCAGAGCATAGCAATCCCCAGTGTGATTATAACAGCTCCCTCCAATAACGAGACAAGGCTACATTTAGAGGGATCAAGAAGAACTGTCAAAACCTTTATTTCCCTTGGGACCAGCCAATAGGGTCACCACAATAACATTGTTGTGAAACCTCAATAAAATCAAAAACAGTCAAACCATAGCAGGCAAAACACAGTGACTTATCACAGCACAATGGCACATTTTTAAAGGGGTGGGGGAGACAATATTTAACAAAATATCTCACGTGTCTGCAGAATTAGCAATATGCAAATGTACCCAAATATGCAAATGAACCAGTCTTGCTATTCAGGTAGTGCATATTGCTGTTGCTGCCAACAGAGGGCACTAGACAAGCTCCATAGCCAAACCCACCTAGTTGGTAGCAAACCTCAGCAGTACAAGAGAGCAGGCAATACATTACACAGTACACACACACTATAAACAATTACATTACACACACCCTGCACCTATAATGGGTACAGGGTGACTAAAACATAAGATAAATAAAGCAGCCTACATAAATAGTCTGTCTGAAGGTAGACTAGGGGCTTGAAAGCCAGATACATGAAAGAGTCAAAGTCACAGGGGAGGAGGCTGGCAAGTAGGCCTCTCCAGGACCATGTGGCGAAGGGCACTTCGTCACAGGGAGTTAGTCAAGGTTCTGCTTCTTTAGAATTGGGGTTACAGTTGCATGTTTGAAGGGCGATGGAAATATACCAGAGGGGAGAGAGAGAGATTGAGAATTTTAGTGAAAGAGAAGAAGACAGAGTACGGATGAGATGCCCCTATTTTTACTTTAGCGCAAACGACTCACTACAGCTAAGTTCATAATGTACATCAGAACCCTCTTAACCAGGCTGGGACTCAACTGCAATGCTTTCACAGGACGCTTATTCAGAATCAGTGCGGCATCCGCTTCAAGACACAATGTTCCGCCTCACATCATAAAAAGATTAGGTTGCTGGAAATCCTCTGTTTATTCTAGATATATACCACAACCAGAACTAGAGTTGAGACAAGCCTTCATGAATCTTGCTATGTAAAGATATGTAATTGTCATTTTCATTCAATTTTTGCCCTCTTTTATTACAGGCCTACCTGATATATTGGTTTCGGCACACCGAAACAGACTTGTTCATATATCTATTTTGTCATAATATGGCTTTTGTCCCAGACTACAAATATTTTTTGGCCTCACTATTAGTAGGGTGAGGTGTGGCTTTATTTTAGGGGACTGGCTAGGGGATTGGGGACTTCTAGCCACTTAAGGGGGTTTACTATTAATTTGTGGTTGGGAGGTGGGGGGCGGTGGACAGACATTGGCATGTCCATTCCCACCCCTGATTTATTAATAATAGGGCACCCACCCACCTCACATGGGTGGGAGGTCCTCTCTTTAATAGAAATATTAGGGCTCCGACATGAGTGGGGATATGGTTGAGGACAAGAGGCCCCCCCACACCCTTTCTTATAACTATTAGGGCTTTCATGCACCAACATACTTGGGGAGAGGACAATAGGTCTCCCCTTTTATTATAAATATTAGTGGCCCCATCTGCTGGCATGAGTGGAGGCCAAGGGAGGGAACAATAGGTCTCAGTCTTAAAATTTAAAGTAGCCCCTACCCAATGCCCACGGTGCCTTGACAATGTCACCCCTATTATTTCATAGGCCCCATCCCCATGGATCTGGGACTTTTCTAGCGACTGCACAGCGATGTCTGCCCAGTGGCTAGTTTTTAGTGTCAAGTGGACTTGCCCCCATGTGCTGGATGGCAGGTGGGAACATGTGGAGGTAATCTACCTCAATTATAGCAAAATGGGCATCCTAGTAGGATTTTTTGTAAATTTGTTTTTACAATTTCCAAGCGCTGGCCAGCCTCCGTATAATTAACACTTGCTCAATAAATGGGTTTTATCTATATGCCTGCGGCCTGCTAGTGCTAGTAGTTTAGATTTTTCTTTTAACCCGGTTTGGGAGTTGAAGCCCTCAAGGCCCTGATTTGATTCAGTCATTCCTGATTTAATCCGTCTGGCATTGTGTTCAGCTAATATCTCAACCAAATTCAGGTTCGTTCAGGGCCTTATTTACAAATCCATAATAAAACTAGCTGAATTGCAGAAAAAAAATTTTCTTCAGTTGCTTGTTGTCATGGGGGAATTAAATATGTAACACAATGTGGACACTTCCATGATTAAATGTATCCCAGAGACTAATATTGGTGCTGGATTAATTAATCATCCTCCTCCTCCTCCTTCTTTTTTCCTCCTCCTCCTTCTTTTTTCCTCCTCCTCCTCCTCCTCCTCCTCCTCCTTTTTTCCTCCTCCTCCCTTTTCCCTCTTTTTTCCTCCTCCTCTTCCTCCTCCTCCTGTGTGTATGTCTGTCTGTTATAGTGGGCTATAATAAGTGGGCTACCTAGATCATCCTTCCTACTGGGCATTGCTATAAGGAAAGTAAAAAAAATAGAAAAAAGGTGGGGATGAGGGAGAGGAGATGAGCTGACGCACAGATGAGAAATCATATTATGTGCAAACAGAGAAGTCGAGGAGAAAGAGGAGACCTTAGCTTGTTCCTTACAAAAATCGAACCAGATATCAAATATTTAGTCTCGCATCTTCAGCCTCAAGGATCTGATTAATCACTAGTAAAGGTAATTTCAATTTACTTTGTTTTCTCATGAAACTTTAAACCAGGGGTAGTCAACCTTTTTATACCTACTGCCCACTAACGCATCTTCCTCGATGGAAAAATTTCCTTACCGCCCACCACGCAAGTGCGGAATATTTTATAGAAAGGAAGGTGTTTTAAAAAAATAAATAAATGTATGTACATTTATCTTTTTATTTCTACTTTATGCATGTTTTTTTTTTTTTTGTAAATTCTTTTTGTCGTTCAGGTGAGTACAAAACACATACATACACCACAACAGCATACATGTGCATAGAAACAAGTTGAATAATAGTACAAATAATGAGCATTAGTGTCTTTCGATCACGTGACATTCGTCAAGCATCATAACAGCAGTGATTAAGATGTAGACAGGTTTAACAATTGTAGGTGAGTGCGTACTTCTGAAGCAGAAGCAAATTCAATAATGACAGGCTGAGTAGGAACGAGAGGTTATATCCTTTCCATACTATAAAGTTCTGCTGTAGAATTAAGCTTACTGGTCTGACGGAAAAAACAAGGTAGTAGCTTCAATACCAAAAATGTGACACGTAGAGCTGAAAAGCATTTGCGTCAATAATTAGAGACACTTGACACATAGGCTATTAAGCTTAGTATAGGGAATTATTCGCTTAACTAATTCTATTGTTATGGAATCAATAATTCAGGTTCCAATTTCTTACATGTCACTGTTGAGAAAGCGATTCCCCAAATCTTAGTTTTAACCTGGGATCTCCTATAGAAAGTAAATGTTAACTTGACTGTTTTGGTTTGTTTGTATATCCCTCTGGTCAGGTGTATGTTATGTCTGCGTCCAGTCGCCCTAATCTGTCATGGGGCAGATGTTTAGTTCCTATCCTCCCGTCAGTTAATTGTCTTACTTTGGGAGCTAGTTCTCTATGTGTCTGGTCCCATTCTACCTCCATCAGTCAGCTGTTATTTAAGTCGATGACTCGTATCTACGAAAGTTGCTTCGTGTTATGGCAATATATCGTGTAACGGCTCGCTTGGGTCCTTCCGGCTCCGGCCTCATCGGGCACAGGTCAAGCCGCTTCTCCGAAGACCCTCAGAAAAGTTACGTGGATTTGATTAGATGCAGTGGGTAAAAGGAGGGAAGGGGAGGGGGGGGGAGGGGAATTTGAAGGACATGTGTCGGGGTGCGCCGGGCACCCTCAAACCCCAGGTGTTATGGTGTGTGCTATGTCTCCCTAGTTCCGGGACGTGAAAGGTAGACATACCATGTGGTCCAGATGTCGACATGCTTGGTGCTTCTCCCTATTAGTTCTGCGTACCGCGCCTCAGCTGTGTGTATTTCCTCAACTCTCTGTAGCCACTCTGTAACGGTCGGTGGTTGGGTCTGTTTCCATTTGACTGGTATAGATGCTTTCGCTGCGTTAAGCAGGTGCCTTAATATCGATCGCTTGTATTGGGCTATCGAGCCTTCCGTGTAATGCAGTAGGGCCATTTCTATGCTAAAGTCCGGCAAGTCTCCCAGGATTGTCGTCATTTCCCTTTGTATGTCCTCCCAATATGGCTTAATCAGTGCGCAGTCCCACCAGATGTGCCGTAGGGTGCCTGTTTGGGATTCACACCTCCAGCATGTATCTGTGGTTCCCCTGAATATTCTGTGTAGTAGAGATGGGGTCCTGTACCATTGAGAGATTAGCTTAAAGTTGACCTCCTGATACCTGGTGCTTATGGAGCTCTTGTGCTGTAATATTAATATCTGTTCCCATTGTGCCTCAGTGTATGTCCTAGCTGTCAGCTCTTCCCACTGCCTCTTAAACGCATTTTTCCGTGTTTGGTCTCCCGTTATTAATTGTTGGTAGATGAGCGATACTCTACCGTCTGCGCCGGTGTTGGTCATGCAGAGGCATTCGAACCACGTCTGTTCTCTGTGTATCGCTACCCTGTTGGGGAGGTTGAAGTAGAAATGCCGCAGTTGTGCGTAACGAAATCTGTGCATCAGCGTCTGTTGTGGCGCCGCACTCCACTCTCGTAAGTTTCTCAATCCTGTATTGCTCAGGACCTCGGACATCTGGATATAATCTCCGTCTCCCTCTATCGGCCAGGCAGATCGGTGCAGCCCCCCACCTATCGCAGTATTGTGTGTTATCGGGATCAATGGGCTCGGTTGTGGGGAGATACGTTGGTTCCGTCTCAAGGATGACCACGTCTTCAGCGTTTGTACAATGGGTGACTCATTGCCTAATTTTGATGCCGCGTCTGCTGAGTCTTGCCATGTATACATGCGGAGGGCTTTGTTTGTGCTCTCCCTATCTAGTGCAGCCCACAATTTGTTTTCGGACGCTGCGTGCCAATCTCTGATCCGCTGTAAAACCGCGGCCTGGAAGTATTTGCGGATATCGGGTAACGCTAGTCCGCCCCAGTTCTTAGGTAAGCATAGCTTGTCGTAGCTGAGTCGTGTTCTCCCTCCTTTCCAGACGTATTTTATTACTGTCGATTTAAGAGTTGCAAAAAATTCTGGTGGTATGTGCCAGGGAATGGTGTTAAAGTAGTAAAGCAGCCGTGGTAGGATATTCATTTTAATCATCGCTATGCGTCCCTGACAGGATATGTGGTCATAGTTCCAATTTTTGAGGTCGAGCAGTATTGTGCGTAGGAGGGGGATGTAGTTCCTGGTATATAGCTCTTTCGGGTTGCTGGGTATCCAAATTCCCAGGTATCGCATTTGGTCTGAGCACCAGTGGAAGGGATATTCGCGTGTGATCCGCTCTCGCACTTCTGTTGGAGTCAATATGTTCAGCAGTTCGCATTTAGTTTGATTAAGCTTCAGCCCCGATATCTGGCCATAGGTGTCAAATTCCTGCATTAGGGCTGGCATGGAGTCGACAGGGCTGTCCACAAAAAAGAGCATATCATCTGCATATGCGGCTACGTTATGTTCCTGATCTCCGTGTCTAAACCCTCGAATCTCTGGGGTTTGCCTTATCCTGTCCAGAAACGGTTCTAATGAAAGGGCAAACAGGAGTGGTGACAATGGACAGCCCTGCCGGGTGCCGTTGTGGATGGTAAAGGTTTCTGTGAGTGCGCCATTCACCCTCACTCTGGCACTAGGGTCAGCATAGAGCGCCTCTATCCAGTCTATCATTCCTCAGCTCCAGGTCACCCGATCAAATGCCTTTTCGGCGTCCGTGGAGAGCATCAGTAGTTCCATTCTCTCTTTAAGCTCCAATGCCTGTATAGAAAACGCTCGAAGTGTGCAGTCTCTGGCTTCCCTGCCTGGTACGAAACCTGTTTGGTCAGGGTGGATTAGGCGCGGCACGTATGTTTGTAATCTTGTGGCGATGACTTTGGTGAAGAGTTTCACATCTGCGTTAAGGAGCGAAATCGGCCGGTAACTACTGCAGTTTTCGGGGTTCTTGCCAGGCTTGGGTAGCACTGTGATTGTGGCTGCTAAAGTTTCCTGGTGGAATTTGTCACCCTGTTGGAGTCGGTTGAGGGCTGCCGTTAAGTGTGGGGTCAGAATGTCTCTAAACAACTTGTAGTACCCCGCCGAGAGTCCATCTGGTCCCGGCGCTTTCCCCTTCTTCGCTGCCTTAATCGCCGCTTGTACCTCTTCTGTGGTTATTGGGACTTCCAGTAGGTCTGCTTCCTCTGGTGTTAGGGCGTCCGGTTGGAATCTTTGTAAGTAGCGCGTTGCTTCCTGCAGTTCAGCGCGTTGAGCATCGGAAGTCGTTGGCGAGGTATTATACAGTCGTTGGTAATACTTACAGAATTCATTGGCTATTGCCTCTGGGAGTTGTGTGAGGGTGCCGTCAGTTGTTCGTAGTGCATGTACTTGCGCTCTGGCTTGTTGGGTTTGGATCATACGGGCTAGGAGTCTCCCACTTTTGTTAGCGTGGATGTAGAAGAAGGCCTTGGATCGCTGTGTCGCTCTGTGGTGTTTGCGGGCCACCAGTTCTGCCAGCTGTCGGCGGGTGTCCAGTAGTGAGCGATAGTGCTCCTCAAGTTGTGACCGCTTGTGTTGTGTTTCCAGCTTTGATATCTGGTCGGTGAGTTCCAGCATGTGTTGCTGCGCTTCCCTCTTTTTGCGTGATGAAATCCTTATGAGATGTCCCCGGAGCACGCTCTTGTGCGCTTCCCAAAGCGTCACTTTCGACACGTCTTCTGTATCGTTCT